ATATCCAGGGCTTCTATTTCCAGATACAGATGCTGAAACAGATACAAATTTTGTATCTTTGCAGGGCTCTAAAGTCCTTTTCTGCTGTCCTTAGCTGAGCAGGGGGAGGATACAAATATCCCCCTTAGAAAGCCCTTTCATGGCTCCTATGGAGTGATACCACATCTGTCATTTCCCTTAGCCAGGGTCTCACCTGTTTGCTGCTTCTGCCTAGAGGACAGGAAGCTTTAAATCTGATTTCCTGTAGGCCATTTGCTTCTTCCTCATCATGTGCCCTGTAACCACAGTTCCCTATTTTAAAGGGCCTAAGGGTCATAACAATGTTCTGAGCAGGTACCCCAGTGCACTGTGACTGTTACTTGATGTTAATGTGTCAATAGTCCATATTTATAGGTCATTCCATTTAATGTATACTTGAAAACTTTCATTTTGCCAATTCTTTTAGGAAGAAATTAATGGTTATTTGCCGTTGTTCAATCAATACAAATTGCACCATTAAGGATTATAATGAAGTGACCCCTCATGCCACAACTGCTGTGAATTCAGGTGTTTGATGAGAAACCAGAGGTAATGTGACAGATAAACATAGCAACAGTAGCAGGCAAATACATTGCGTAAGAAGAACAGTTATTCACTAGATTCGTCATTCAGAGAAAAATCCTAAAGGCAAAGGGATTAGCTTAGAAATTTAGTTCAGATCCAGTTGACAAGAAGCCGATTAGCTTCAAAACAAGCAAATGCAACACAGTCTTGTTTGCTGCAAGAAAAGACAAACAAAATGTCAATGAAAAATTACCTCCTTGCCTGAGGGATTCAGTGGGATTTAAGAAAAAATCCAATCTGTATTGTTTGAAAACATTACAAACACAGTGTTGTTATATACCAAGCTAGCCACACTTTCCACTCCTCTGTCCATCTCTGTAGCTTTTTCTTCTTCTTCTGCACAATGAAGAACCCAAGAAAAGAGTGCTGAAGTTTTAGTCTTTGCACCAGACTATGGCACTCAAGCCGATAGAGAAAAATTACACCAGAAAAAGCTATTGAGGAGTCAAGTGTGCACCTGGGGTGGAGACTCAACAAAGTCTGAAGCAAAAAGAGCTCATTTTCCCCAAGAAAATAATCTAGAATGTACAGGCCGCCATTTTGCACTGATGTACAATTTGTGCCTGCCATTCAAATCAAAAGGGTTTGACTGAGCTCTGCTTAGTTAGGGTGTCTCTAGCCTATAGGGTTTTTTCGAAAAAAGTAGCCTTTTTTTGAAAAAACGTCACTTGAAAGTAAATTGAAAGAATGCGGCAGTTTTTTCTATCATGGTAAACCTAATTTTTGAGGGTTTTTTTTTTCAAAAGAGCATCTAGACTCTCTTTCGAAAAAGTGGCTCGCTTTTGCAAAAAATCTACTTGTAGTCTAGACACTCTCTTTCGAAAGAGGATTGTAGTCTAGACGTAGCCTTAGTGACTGCAGAGTAATTCATTCTGAGTAGTGTGTTATAAACATGACCATATTTTATTTTTATGGGGCTGATCTTACCATCGCTTTTTTCCTATGGGAGGAGTGTAAGGTCAGAGCCGCATATACCGATTTAATAGACCATATCAATGTCTTAGCTGCCCATGATATTTCCTGGGATATCCAGGGTTGGGAAGGCACCATGGAACCATCTGAATTTAGTGTGAGGAAGCCATGTCTGTGCTTGCTAGGGGCCAGTTCCCCAACTCCACCAGCCATGGACAATGCAAGCAGTCCCCTCTCAGCCTACAGAGGCAGTGTGGAGTCAGGAAATCTTGCGTCTGTTCTCACTTCTGCCAGTGACCTCTGTATGACATTGAGCAAGTTGTTTTGCTTCTTTGGGCCTCAGTTTCTCTGTTTGTTCAATAGAGGACTTGTTAAAACTGTTTAGCATCAGTGGAGGAAAATTGCCAGATCTATGTAATGGAGTTATTGAATTTCACAATTTTGAGTTTTAAACAAAAAGAAGTTTTCCATTTTGTGTTACAACAGGATATCTTATCAAATTAATTGTATATGTATATATAATTAGAGATTTGTACGTCTGCCTGCTTGCGAGTCCCTCTGTCTGCAAATCCATTTGTTCAAGAATGCCTCCTAAATGGTAACAACTAGGACCACCAAATGTGGTATTCAGCTTCTTCTTATCCTAGCTTAAAGCAAGGGCAAGATTGGTAGTGCCAGGAAAATGGGATATGCCTGCAATTCAATTGTTTTCCAGGGCGTGGAAAGGGAAGGGGGCTGTTCAGAGGGATGCTATACTGCAGAGTGACCACTGGAGTCACCTGCTCCAGGAAGGGAGTGGCCATTTGGGATGGGGCTTGCTATCTTGCCAGCCATCAGCCTAAGTAAGTGACTCCCCCTAAGCCAAGGTGGAGCCACAGCCCACCCCCCCAACACCACTGGGTCACCCAGTGTAGTTGCACCCATCTGGATAGTGCAGCTCCCTTTCTCCCCATGTATGGGCCATGTGCTGACATTATGGGAGGAGCTGTGCATCCCCCACACTCCACCCCCATGCTTCTGAGGAGGGCCAGCAGGAGGCCTCCGTAGCCTCCCCTGCATCCAGGCCTGACCCGGGCAACGCTGGGTAAGTTTTCTAGTGGAAAATATTTATTCTCTTAAGCAGAGTATTCTGTTAAGTGATTTTCTCTTGCACACACACACACACACACCTACTACTACTACTACTAGTTTGTGAATACCTTGCACATGAATCAATCTGAAAGGGCACTATCAACTTTTACAAATGGCATGCCAAAATTATATTGCTTACCATTTAAATGCAGGCACCTCTTGGAATCAACAAAGCAATCAGTCAGTAGTGCAGAGCAACACAACAAATTTTGGACATGCAAACTATCATGCATCTAATAGGAGTAATGAATTTAAAATATGATTGTTCAAATTTAAATTTCTCAAGGAACCAGAGATGAATACTCTTATCCCAGCAAAAAGTGCTATGGGATCTTTAACCAGTGGCCAGTGCCATGGCTTTATGTTTGAGTTGAAATTTAGTACCTCTGACAGTGCAGTGTTACAGTACTCTATCAATGCTCTATTTGTTTTCTTTTTTTGCTTAGTTTTTCCCTTTTAATTAATACATTTACAAACAATTTTGCAGATTTAGTTGCTTCCGAAGCAGGAAATTGAATTATGTGTCCCTGTTTTGTTTCCTCCTATAGTCATCTGTCAGGCATACACTTCTGATACATCTGCAGGGCACAAGCCCATTTTGTCTAATGGGTTTGGGAATAGACAAAATCTTAGCTAAGATCGGGTTTCAGATGAATAAAAGAGCAGCAAGCGCAGGAGGCAGGAACTATAAACTCTAGTGTGTAATTCCTGGCCCGTAGATGATATCTGACCACAGTGTGGTTTTCCTAGCCCTGACAATGTGTATCTTGGCCAAGTTAAGGAATGCCTTTATGCAACACTGAGTGTTGATGTTACAAGAAGTGAACAGAGAACTGAAAGAAATAAGTGTATAAACTGAGAAGTCACACCAGTAGGTGTTTTACCAGAAGGCGCAGTGAATATTTTCATAGGGGGCCAGATTCCTATCCCATGTGCCTTACTCTTCACAATGTCCCACTGAAGTCAATAAGGCATATCTATGTCTTTTAGCAGTGTGAAAAATCCACACCCAAGAGACATAACTGTGCTGACCTAACTTCTGGTGTTAGGCTTAGCTGTTGCCACTCAAGGAAATAAATTAATTACAGTGACAGGAGAACCCTGAGTGTCTACAGTGAAGCAGCAGCTGTGTGACTGCAGCATTTTAAGTGTAGACATAGCCTTAGTATTTGCCTTAAGTAGGTTTATTTTTCTCTTTATTTCTGTTTCTTTTCGTTATTTCATAGCTATGACAGAATATTAAGATTTTGGACAATATGCCCCATTTTGTGAGTAACTTAGAAGAATTACAGCTGGAAAACCAACCGCAGTGCACTTGAAGGGTATCATTAGGAAATGGTTTCAGTGCATTACTCACACAAGTGCTTGAAATGTGATTGCTATTCAAAATGTGTTTCCAGTGAAAATGGCTTCAACCTGAAGTGCTTCCAGGAACCACATTGGGGTCACTCGTAACATCGATACCGTCCAACACAGATGTTATCTTTTCAAATTCTGGGAATGGTACCACCCAGTCTTTGGAGGCCGGTCAAGCCAATAAATGTATCCTCGGGGGGGAATAAACAGCCTCAACTCTCAGCCCTTCTTCTAAACCAAACACTTTAAGATAACACTTTAAGGTCTGAAAAAGTCAGGCAGCCTTTTTTGTGCCAAATATTATTTAACTGTTTTCTCCTTTGAAATACAGTTCCTTGATCCTCTAGCTTTGATGTGATGATCCTAGTGGTTTTCTGTGCCTCCTGTTGAGTTCCTTGTCCAAATTCTCATTTCATGTCCTTAACCTTCAAGACAACCCATCTATGTTTCCTGTTGGGATAGGTGAATACTTTTTGCCAAGTTTAGAACCCAGTTAGAAATTGTGGCATCTAGACTCAGAACAGAATTGAGCGTGGTTCTAAGTTTCAGTTCTGAACTTCCCCTATTTTATCTGATTCTGTAAGTAGTCTTGAAATTGAGACACGGTCTTGGGGAATGAGTTGTTGTTTTGTTCTGTGTATGCATAGCATCAAGGGGAATACAGTCTTGGTTCATGACTAGGGTTCCTCGGAGCTACAACAACACAGATAATTAATATAATAATATTACTTTCAAATCAACCTCCTTATTATTCTGATAATGCAGCCTTATCATGATATGAGGTTTTGTTTGTGTGGGGGAAAACCTTGGAGCATGTGAGATCGAAATGCCTGAGCCCAAGAAACTACGTGTCTTAGTTACGCAGGAATCTCAACATCTTGGTCAATGCTATGGAAATGAAGTTTTGTGCACTAGAAACCTTTGCATTTTGGTTAGGTCCTCGAACTAGATCCCAAATGCCATATTTGTTATAAGGCTTTATTTCTTTGTATTTTCAGAAGAATCCATGAAGTTGCACAGTGGGCCTCCTAAGAACGCATACATGGAGCAGAGCTTCCAAGGCTTGAATCCGGTTTTAAATATCCCTATCAAGGCAGCTCAAGTGGACCAGGCAAAAAAGAATGCTGCGCTCATAGGCACCAAGCTGGAAAACTGGGTGGACACCTTGGTCAGCAACGTATGGTCAGCTGTGGATGTCTGTAGCACGGGTCCAACATCCTGTCCAGTCATGCAGGCTTGCACTCAAACAGCTTGGAGCTCCCTGAGCCCAGACCCTAAGTCAGAGCTGGGCCCCATTAAACCTGATGGGCGTTTGAGGTAGCATCTGGTACCCTTCTTTGGCATAGGTTTTAAAAGGGAATTTAACCTTGCTTCTCTATTAATCTGATTACAGATTCCAAAACCTTGATAGAACTTTTTATTGTCTATTTTTCATCTCTATATAATTTTTAAAAAATCTGACAAAATCTTTGGCATTGTTTCTCCTTTAGATCCATCAGTCTAAGCTTCAGTGGCACTGTGCATCTCTTCTGTAACTTTCATAGAGTCACAGTCTTACCTCATTCATTTTGTATCCAAAAGGCTCCAACATTTTCTATTTTTCCCGATTATGAAATGGTAACATAGCATGTTAGTATGTTCAGAGGGTAAAAAAGGAGCAGCTGCTAAAAAAAACTTTCAAAAATACCTGTGTCTATTTTGAATATTTTATATTTTAATTATTTTTCTAACATAAATAACCGGAGACTCCAATATATATTCAATTGGAAGACTGAGCTGTAAAATATAGTCAAAAGGTTTTACAAGATGTAAAAAAAAAAGGGGGGGGGAACACTCCCTATTTGTACAATGTTAAGAAATTCTAGGCTTGATTCATCATTGTGTTAACTCCAGTTTCAAGCCAGAGCGTATCACTCTGACATAGAAACCAGATTAGCAGAATGATGAATTAGGCTTCCCCTCTCAATTAGAGAGGTCAAACATTCTCATCTACTTTCTGATCGCTAAGCAAAATGAATGTTGTAAAACTCTACTTTTAGTCCTATTGTGATTAGCCTTTAGTCACTACAAGGTCTAAACACCACTTGCAGTATTAGAAACAAACATTCTTGTTACTCAAAAGCCAGAATCTTGTCACCATTGCAATCTGCATTTAAAAACAAATCCACACAGAATGCCGTCTGCGTAAAAGCAGGTGTGCAGATTCCTCACACATCAGGTGGTTTGTGCATGCAATTGGAATGTGTGGCTGTTCGG